GTTTGTTCAAGCTCAGAAACTACTAGATACCCACTCGCACGCGCTTACAAAATGAGCTTTGCATGGCTGCTTGTGTGAGTCGTCCTTCCGCCGCTGTCAAAGGCCTTTGTTACTCTATGCTTCTCAGTACAGCTTCGCCGCAATAAACGTTCATCTTAAGCTTTATAAATCAAGTTTACGTTTTTTTCGTGACTATAAACAGCGAATAAAATGCCTTAAGTTAAGACCATCTAACTTTTGGTTTCCTAAACCTATACACAATAAATTCGACTTTATAAGAGTGTTGTGCAGAACAAGCGATCGATCTCACTGGTATTATGCACTAAGAAAAAGTGCTTCTGGATTTGCACATCGTTTCACCATTAGCCAGAACATAGCCGTAGGCGAGAAGACGCACAAGGACAAACGCATGCACTAAAAGCGTGAAATCACGGCGTGTGCCCGCGCTTGACTGATTTCGTCGGTAAAACCACAAGAACTTAAAGACAACGAGCACCGCGGCCTCACGTTTTTCGAGCTGCTTGAGTGGCCTGATCCACGTGTCGGCTGCGCTCTTACTCAATGGGACACGAAGTAAAACAGCTTTCGCAGGATGTGCCAACACCTCTTAGATAAGAAGATCTGAGTGCTGAATTCAACTGGGTAGCTAAAAGTAGCTACTATAGTGCAGAGAGATTGGACACGACTGAGGCGTCAGCGTTCGGCTCAGACTCGTTTTCCCACTGACTGAAACCGGGTTCGAACCGAACGATGATGCAGCTCCTTGTGTCCACTCTGTGCCCTGCGGTGATCTCTTTGAGTTACGCGGGAAAATTCAGCCCAAGGTTCTTTTATCCAAACTCCGTTCACCCGCAAGCTGGCAGTGCGGAGGAACCTATTTGCTCGCTGGAGAAGTCATACGCCCACCATTCGCCACGTGACCAGACTCTCCCGCCCATAACCATGTTCAGGAGGAGGGCTCAGGTGATGAAAGGGAGGCAGCTGATTGGCCCACCGAGAGCATAGCTCCCACAGCACTGTATTCTTAGGGGTGTGTGGAGTATAAGAAGCGTTTATTGTCCACAGAGCCCGCTAGCGTTGAAGGCCCGCTGCAACCAAGACACATGCTTTTCCTGCAGATTCAAACTAGAGACTGAGTGTTCACTGAAGGACAACCTGGAGAGCTTGGGCATCACCCAGATTTTCGGCGCTCAGGCTGAGTGGCTGCCCTATCTGGCATCACGAGCGGATGTATCCTCGTCATTTCCGATGTGGTGCTTGAGGCGGTCGTGGAAGTCAACGAACAAGGCAAGGAGGCGTTCTTTTGGAGCCGTCGGCATCAACAGGCTGTTCGCGATGCCCAGTTTAAAAGTCAACGGGCCATTCTTCTCCTTCATGGGGAGCACCAAAACAAAAAATTGGCTTTTTGCCTGACAAGTGACCATCTTTGAAGACGTCAAATGTGTTCGCAATGCACGCAGGCTACGCACATGGTCTGCGTCTAATAAAGTTTAAAATGCCCGCGTGCAACTTGCGCAAAAGTATGTGATTTAGACAGTCTTGTTTATTTGATCCTACTCGTCGGAACCGCATCGGTGCAGCTGTCAATCGACCGATTTCGAAGGACTAGCAATAACCGGAGAGATACATTGGTCCACATACGAGATCAGAGAGGCCAGGTGAAAGCTTTCATATATGGGCAGATTAAAGTTCCTCTTTCAAGAGAGCTACGCCAGAAGGATGTATTATCACATCGTTACCAGGGGTTCAAGACAGGATGGGTGAAGAGAGTAAGGGCCGTAGCCTCCAAACATAGTGGAGGCACAACAAGACTGCAGCCGGCGACGACGGAGCGGTAGTGGGCGAGGACGATATGGGCAGAGGTGGCACAGACCGGAATAGAGAGATGAAGAGTGCGAACGCAGACGAAGCACAGCCTCTAACTGTACAGAGAGCACAAGAGGGAACCAATGCCCTATCGACAGTACCGGGGAGACAGAGCTAGTGCACTGCTGTTCTGGGCTAGGAGGGCTCCCTATTGACCCAAAGACAAACATTTGAACTGTACGGAGACTATTCAAAGTGCAGGCTCCGCTGAAGCGACGAGTTGACTGTCGAACATATTTTAACATAGTGCGGCAACATCGACCAAAATGGACAAGGCGCGACGCGGTACGGTGTGCAACAGTCTCTTGGCTACAGAGACGAGGCCGACGAGGACAGTGAGGGCCGTGCACACGGCACGCGAGGAAACACGCACGGGTACCCAACGGAGGCATCAAAGCGGTTGCGTGGGAACGACCTTGCCGCATCGCGAAACCTCTAGTCTGAACAAACACCTGAATCAGCTGAACTACATCCGGACAGTGCACACCAGAAGTGGCTCTTTACTTTTATTTTATTTACGGTACCATAGGCACTCTTAGGAGTGCCCGCCCTGTTGTAAAAGGGTTTTGAGTTTTGGTCCATCTGACTGACTGACTGACTGATCCTAGCACGATGGCGAACTAAAACCGCAACGTCACGGCACGCTTTATGCGTTCGGTTGAATTCGAAAGCAAAAACGCACTCACAAGAAAAAAGGTGATGAACGTACTGATGTTGCACTTTCGGTACTGTTTGATTGGCTCGTCGGCTCCGGCTCTCATAGCGTTAGCTGCGCTTCGATGTCCGCTATCTTATGGAATGACTTGCACGTTACACGATGTCAGTTGTGCCGCCATTGTGCAGTGCTTCATAACTTCTAATAATCGTAACGGGACTTTCGAAAGGGGTCTATAAAGTAGAGAGTACTAGCATCGGGGAGGAAGGTTCAAGTTAGCCGTACTCCAGTTCACTTCATGTATGACCGCAGACGACGCTACGCTCAGATGGAACCGACCAAGGTGCGCCAAAAATGCATCGTCACGTAACTCGTCACTTTTGTGCGTTTTCTGTCACCGAATAGACTAATCACGCGCGGTGAGTGCGCCCTGATAGTGAGTGACTTTTTTTTCTGCTCGTGATTGGTTTAGCTTCTTACGGCAAACCATAGCCTCCGAGGATCTCGTAGCACAGAGCATTTCTCGGGGAACCTGGACGTTAGCGCACAGCGTTTGCAGTGGCGAGGACCCGAAACACACTTGTTCGCTCGGCAGAAGTGAGTTTCGGCGTCTCGCCGCAGCGGGGCACCAGGCACGTGGCTCTCCCCTCACCCGTTGTCTGCCGCTCCACCTTTTCCATTTTGGCGGCCGCTTCTAGTGGCGATCTGCCAGGCTTTGTCAGTATAGAGGAGGCTATGAAACTACCAATCAAGAAGCGTGCATTACCTGAGTAGAATGTAAAAGAACGAATGAGTAATCAAGAAACATTATCATTATAGAACACGCCCATGCCCCTCAAAAGCTGTCTATGACATTATACGGAATTTCCTGTTGAAACGTATGGGACGCATGGAAGCTTGTGAAGTGAACGCCTCAGCGACGCAGGTATTCACAATTTGCCACCTTGAGGACATACGGCTTGAAGGTGGAATCTTGTATAGTACTACCTGAAACATTCACTGGCTTACTGACCGAAATCGGAAGTGTGTGTCGAAGTGAATGGGCATCCATTGCCTTTGACGCATTTGTCTAATGATTTTGCTTAAGCCGCTCTATTTCTTTTTGCTTGTGTTTGTTGTTAGTTTTTCTTTGAAATGTTGTATTTTTTTTATATGTATAATACTTCACCCACGTTTGTACACCACACAGTGGACCTCTAGGTTGTTTGTGGGCACTGGAAAATAAACCATTATTATTATTATTATTATTATTATATGACGACATGTTTACTTTTGACGAGACTCGTCCTCAATAGTCGCCGTTTCCTTATCAAATATTTTTTTCTCAACAGCTAATCCGGATTGGCGTAACTCCAACATCCAAGGCGTAAAATAATGTGCACAGAAGCGATTCAAATTAATGCATTTCGTTTTCTATAACCATTGTTTTCTTGGGCTTTGGGAGTATTTGTAACCACCAGGAAAAAAGGCAGCGTTATACTGACCGGTACTTTGATCGAGGCATGATTGTTAATACATCTATATACAGATAAAAGTAGCTGTCTAAAATGAATTAAAAAAAAAAAAAGACAAGAAAGGCTGCATCACTGCCGTTTTGTATATATTCTGTGTACACTAAGCTCATCAGTAAATGTTTTGCATTTGACCAATACCATATAGAAGACAAGTATTCGAGAAAAAATTATTAGGTAGGAACAGCGACGCAGTCTTGGCCATATGTTTTGAAGGGACGACCTTAGCATCCCGTTCACGCGGTTTTAATGCATAAGAACAGAACTCAACTCTGAGGCACACAGGTTACTTAAATGCTCGTAACATACTTTTTGTAATAATGTACTCTTGTTTTTTTTTTTATATTTTCTGTAGAAATACCCAAGTTGTGCAAACTTGTTTCCAATGTTTCAATTTTTAATTTTTTTTATACAACGCTTTTGTTTGTACGGGTCTCTATACACCCCAAGCTGCATTTGACAAACTTTTGTACTGGGAACCCTCAACACCATGTTGAAAAAAAAAACGAATAGAATTGAACTGAACAAAACTGACCCAGCTCGAAGGATTCCTCTACAAGGACGACCTCCCGCGTTGCAAAGACGCAGACAACGCCACAGCCGCCTAATCACAAGGACAAGCCAGGAGCGATTTGCTTGTAATCTGTGTAAGAAAACTCCCCCTGGGAGACCCCTGCCTCTCGCAATTCGCGGAAGGCGTCAAATTTCGGCAGCAAAAAGAGCACTTTTTTTCTTTCTTTTTGCTTTAAGGTTTGCATTCGTACCCTCGCCTGTTGACACGAAGCTCCCTCATACCCATGAACTGAGCGTTCTAACGTTCGTGGCAGTCCGCTAAATGGTTCGATTGTATCCTAAATTCCCGTTTGAGGTTACCACGGTTAAAAACAGACGTTGAAGCAACTCCATCCGTGAAACTAAACTCTATGACTGCAATATTCCAGTTCCTTCTTTCGAACTCCAGCTATGGTAAAACTCTGACGTTCTTTTACATTGAACTCCACTGATGGTATATGTAATGGTCTAAAAAAAAGTATTATTTAAGGCTCGAGAACAAGAACGACCCCTTGGTAAAACGCCTGTGCGACTGTATAATTGCAAACGTAAAAAAGCGTGTCACATTACGCGCCTTCTAGATTACACTGGCACACTGTGTATATCTCTCGGGCGTCAGTCGGGAGAGACTTTGAGATTTTCTTTTCCTGTTTAGGCTTCGCGACCGCCGCCGCGGCTAACAGCAGCCTCAGACTACGTTCCAGAAAAGGGCGGGCGCTTCCATCGGATACTTCTGTGAATTGAGAGACCCATTCACAAGGTGCGTATGACGTCATTTCGATATAATCAGTTCGTTAGTTTGTGTCTTGTTCGCTATAAAATGACGAAAAGACCGACACAAGAGGAACCAACTCGTACACAAATGTACAAACTGTAGTGTGGAGATTTAAACAGCAGGAAGTTAACATCACTTGCAAAGTGTAGTACCCTTGTCCGATAGACACGTTAAATGCCACCAAAAAAGAAGACCAAAAAACTAATTTAACGACTCGGTGAATCAGTTAGCAGTCTCTGGCCTACACTCTAAAAAAAAGCCGTGCGTTTACTTTCCCTCACGACACTCGAAGAGCCAATCACCGCATCTTACGGAGGCAGCTCAGCGAATGTCGATGATGAAACTTATGTTTATACCAAAAAAAGCAGTTTGAGTTTTGACATTAAGCAATGCAAAACATCACGCTTGCATTGCTTAATGTCCCAACTCAGACTGCGTGTTTTGGTCTGAATATATTTTTCGGCATCGTCACTCGCTAAGCTGCCTCTGTAGGTTGCGCTGATTGGTTCTCCGAGTGTTGTGCGGAAAAGTTTACACACGGACGTTTTTTTGTTTTTTTTTAGAGTGTACGCTGGTTCGCCAATTCTTTGAAAGAGTCTGTTCTGAGTGTATTTAAGTGCCAGTCTAACAAAATAAACCGCGTTAAGCCGTGTCTTGCAAATGTTTACACTTCCTCATTTTTCCAAAGCTAAATATTTCGTCTGGTTTGCTTTTAGGCATAAATCTGCTTTGATTTAATATAGAAGCGCTTACTGTTGCCTATAGACAGCGCGGTTATTGAAATATTATAAATGTATAGGTAAACATGGTTCTGATGCTGGAAATACTAGATAATATGCTAAAATTTGGGGGTTTTACGTGCCAAACCTACGACGGGCATCTGGCACGCCCCAGCGGAGGACTGAGGATTAATTTAGACCACCCGGGGATCTTTTGACGTGCAACCGAAAGCTAAAACAGAGTATCAAACGATTAACTTCCCTCGCATACTTTCGCTGTTGCTCTTTTCATTATGTGTCCTTTAGTTCCCTCGCTGTATATGGCTGTTTAGCAAATGCACATGTGTGCGGTCCCCAGTCTACCGGTCTAGTCTTACCAGCCAACTCAGGTACCACGACCTTACAAAAGTAATTTTTTTATTATTATTTTTGTAACAACTTTAGACTACTCATTTTCATGTTTTTTGCACAGGGAAACATCGCCATGAGGTCTTTCGCAACGTTCATGTCCCTTCTGACCATCTGTTGGGGTCTCCATGAAGACAGACTGACCCTCGCCAATAACCGCTTCGCCACATCCCTGTTGCACGGCCTTCCAACTAGCACAGAGACAAATATCTTCTTCTCACCGTACAGCATCTCCGTAGCGCTGGGAATGGCGTTTGCCGGAGCCAGAGGAGAAACTAGGGAAGATCTGTTTCAGGGATTCGGCTACGCGCGATCCGACATCGAAGACGATGCAGTCTTAGAAGCGTACGCTAGCCACAGAACGCGACTAAGATCTTTGCGATCAAACTCTACTCTCGATGAGGCCATCGGGGCTGCCATTCATGAAAGAATTTCTCTGTTGAGTTCTTACGAAAATGTCCTGAACAATTCGTTCGGCGCCGACCTCCTGAAGGTGGACTTCATAAACGGAGGACAGGCAGCGGTCGACGTCATCAATGGCTGGGTACACGGGAAAACCCGCGGCAAGATTAACCTCCTGTTCGGTGAACCCCTCGAGACGATCACCCAACTGGTCCTGCTGAATGCCGTCTACTTCAAGGGTACGTGGGACATGGTGTTTGATCAGCGGCTAACGACCAAAAAACCCTTTATGAACGCGTGCTCTACACCGACGGAAGTTGACACGATGAGAGGAGAGGTCTATGTTCGCCACAAGTCGTTTCCTCTTCTTGGAGTGGACATTGCGGAAATTCCTTACCGTGGCATGGACTACAGCATGACGATCCTGCTACCCACTCGGATCGATGGAGCGGAGGCGCTCAAGCGTAACATCACGGAACACCTGTTGCAAGACCTACTGAAGCAGCTGGTTGAACAACAAGTCACCGTATATCTTCCGAAGTAAGTTGAGCACGATACCAAAATGCTGACTGTGACATAAGCAGTCGTTTAAAGGAGGTCACAACACTAACCTGCTAAATTACTCATGATACATAAATTATGCAATATTAAGACCTAATGGGGGAATGTTTGAAGAAGTAATTATGAAAACGAAATATTTAATGTTCATGTTTGCATATGGCAACCGGGAAATCCTGACAGAGCTGACGGTGATCGATGATTTCGCAACTTAACGCTGTCCATAAACCACATGGCCCGATTTTATAGTTAGTGACCCCTTAAGAAACGCAAGGTGTTGTTCATTATTTTCCCGCTTCTTGCTGTCTGATCTGCTTTTCGGCGCTCTTATCAACAAATGCCACAATCCTATTGACTGCAAAGCGACATTAAGACGAAATTACAATGTAAATAACTTTAGTATTTTAAAACAAGGAACCGTGACGAAAAGCCAGAGCAGTATCCAGAAAGAGGTCATGAACGCTCACAGTAGGAAATTCATTATTATCCTAAATATTTAAGGAATACAAAATGGTGCGATAACGAAAGAAAACAACGATATACCACCTAGTTGAAATAAAAAAAGCGCTATATTATAAAAGAACACAAAAAGTGAAAGCCGTTTACGACTCCCTGTAACGCCGAATTGGAGCGCAGCTCTTGAGGAGGAGGAGGGAAGGGTACTGAGGGGAGGGTAGACCCCTCCTCCTCCTTCTCCTCCTCCTCCCCTCATTCTTTATTATGCTCCGGGAGGTCACCTGACCTCGGGGGGGGGGGGAGTCACGTGACCTCGGGGGGGGGGGGGGGAGGGGGGTCACGTGATTTCGGGGAGTGGGGCCACGTGACCTGGGGGGCCACGTAACCTCGGGGGTCACGTGACCTCGGGGGGTCACGAGACCTTGGGGGTCACGTGACTCCTTGGGAGGATCACGTGACCTGTGGGGTCACAAGACCGGGGGAGTCACGTGACCTGGGGGTCACGTGACCTTGGGGTGACCTTGGTTACGCCGACGGCGACGCCGACGCCGCTCAAGCCGGAAACGGGCCCCTAAGAGCTGCGCTCTAAAACAGGGTGTGCAACGGTAGAAGTGTTGTACAGACGTGCACTAGATATGTACTAACTGTACAGTATAAAAATAATTGGCAGCGACGTTCACCTTTGAAGTCCTCTAATGCATGAGAAGGAGTATTTAAGAAGTGATAATTTTAATTTCTTTGGAAGACTATATACAGTCTTGTATAGTATAGGTGACATGGCATCATTATATATATATATGTATATATATACATCAGTAGAGGTTAGTTGATGTCGGGTGACGTGACGCCAATGTTCCCGCTAAATTTAGCGGGGAAACTACATTGGTGTATAGTTCGCTTGACGTAAGGTTACGGGACATAAATTTTACCGCGGAATCTAGCAGGGAAACTGAATTGGTAGATAGGTCATATGACATCAATTTCCCCGTTAAATTTAGAGGGAAATGCACGGACGGAGTGACAAAACTTTGGAATCGTGGTAGTGACAAAAAGCATATTTCTTGCTTTTAAACGAAAATGTAAGGAAATATCACGTACCTAAGTTGGCGTCACGGCATTAACATCCACACCTTTTATGAATCAGTAATTTCATACCAAGCGATCGATTATTTGATGTCTGATTAAAATACGGTGTGGATGTGTGTGTGTCGCAGCGCAGGCTAAATGCCCAGGCTTATAGCTTTTCACGGTTTCTCCTGCTGCGCGAGGGTTGGTGCAGCCAGGGTGCGTCCTTGAGCAAGCAGCTCCCGCTTGCAGATTTCTCTGCGGTATATGTTACGGTGAAAACACCGTGGGCGAAACGGAGTGTGGGTGAACGAGTTAAAAGCTATCGTGTTCTAGGGGAAGTGACAGATAGGGCCTGGCAACGTTCCTAACCCTTGCGATCAAGGCGACCTTGCTGAATGGGGAGATTCAAGCTTCAGCCGATTGATTTAAATATATCCACGACACTAGGCATTGGTTACAAAATATCTAAGCAAATATATCACGACATTTATGGATATCTCAGATTTTATTTTTTTCTGTCAGTGACCTATTTATTACATTGTCACTTTGTCATCTCGCCGCTCACATTTTTGTTCGAATATTTTTGGACTCACAACTATGTGTCTGAATATGCGAGCAATATAGCAGTAGCCTTGATCTAGTACATTTCGAAGAATATAAAAGTAATCACAGGGGTGGAAAAACTCCATGTCAAGATTACAAATACAACCCTGTTTTTGGTAAACAATATAGACTACGGCGTTATTTTGTTTTAGAAGATTGAGGCAATGGTTATTTAGACACCTGCTATAACAAGGGTCTGATTCTTCTTCATTTCGCAGATTTAAGTTGGAAACCGAATACCTACTCAAGGACCATTTGAAGAAATTGGGAATCAACCGAATCTTTGGTTCCGGTGCGGACATCTCGGGCATCACGCACGATGCTAACCTGGTAGTGTCCGACGTGGTCCACAAGACCGTGCTGGAGGTTCACGAGGCAGGCACCGAGGCGGCCGGGGCTACCGGTGTCATCATTGTCGCAGAAAGTCTTGTGGAGAGCGTCGAGTTCCGAGTCGATCACCCGTTCATCTTCTTCATCCGGAACACTCAAACCAAGGACATCCTCTTTGTGGGACAGGTCAATCATCTTTGAAGGTATCCATCGAAGACTAAAAATTATAGGTGCACAAAGAATAAAGAGTTCTTCCTGATAAGTTTTGAGACTCGCCGAACCTCCTCGTGCGCAGTCTCATAAAATAGAGAGCGTATTTTTTTTTCCGGTTGGCACAGAAAGGTAATCAATAGAGTTTCCGTGCAAATTATATATAAAATAATTAAATCCACTCGATGTTTTGAGTCCCAACAATTATTAGAGGTTAATCACGGGTGGAGTTTACGGCATCTTTCTTTTTATCTGGCATATATCTGGGCTTCGCGATTTGCAGTTCTATAAAATGAAGCATTGTGTGGTATATTAAAAAAAGCGTGTGTCTGTAGACGGTTAAGCTTGTAAATTTTAAAAATTTTTATCTTTTCACGCTTCGGGTCAGAGACAACAGTTTTGTCTAAAATTGTGGCGGTGCATTCCTGTTGGACCAGCGAGCTTGCCAATACGCAGTTTGTACGCCGCGAAAATCGACAGGCCAGCAAGAGGCGAAGAAAAGGGACGATGACGGACCGTAGCTAAATAGAGGCGCGCGGGATTCTTGGCATGGGCCCACCGACCCCCAAGAGTTATGCCAAAGTAAATGTATCTGGTTACGTTCTCCGACTGTGTTGATTCGTGCCCGACGCTCACACAAGAGCAGTCAGGAAAACAACAAACTGAATTCAAAATAACGCTTGACTCTTGCTACGATTTCATTACGTTCACAGGTCTAAAAATTCACGTATCTAATCATTTTTTTTTCAATGTGCTTAGAGAGCATAATATTAAAGCGAAAGTCTTACTTGTCCCATTGAACGCAAAAGCGGCGCATATGGTGATAAAAATACGATTGAGCGGCACGCGCCGCTCAATCGTATGCTAAAGGACGACGCTGTCCTTGACGTTATCTTTGAAGTCGTTCTAAAGATCGTCCTACACCTCTAAGACGACCTTGCTTGTTTCATTACGTGACAAAACGGCGTCATTGTGCCGGAAAGATGGCCATAAAAATACATCAAGCACGCGCCGCTCACGCTCAAGTGCGGGAGCGTCATGTCACCGCCGGAGCGCCGTGTGCCAAAAAGTGCTGTTTGGACCTCATTTGTGCTCGTTCTGTGTTTCGTGCGATGGACTGTGAGGATACCGCGTTGAGATCTACGGCCTCGACATCGGCGGCAGCGTCCACATCTACGGCGGCTACCGCAGGCAAACGTGGCCGCCCACGCAAACGCGCCAAAGCCTCCTGATGTGTCCTCCTCTAGGTGTGGTTCTCGTCATCGTCCTAGACGTCATCCTTAAGGTCGTCCTAGAGGTAGTCCTAGAAGTCATCCTAGACGTCGTTCTTGACGCCGTCCCCTAGGACGCCTTCCTCAACGTCGTCCTAGACGTTATTCTTGAGGTCGTCCAAGAGATTGTCCTCGGCGTCGTCCTGGACGCCATCCTTGATGTCGTACTCGACGTCGTCCTAGAGGTTGTCCTAGACGACGTACTTGGCGTCGACCTCTAGGACGTCGTCCTTGACGTCGTTGTATACGTCGTCCTAAACTTTATTACCTGTGGGAACGTTACCCAAAAACATTTCTTCCAGGGGACTCTAATGCTTTCGCCCTCCTATACCATAAGCAGTCTTGGGTGTCCTGTAATTTTTTTAAAACACTGTAGATATTACACTGATATATATTCATGCATTTTAACGAATTGCCGCTCCTCTTCTTGACAATAGGCAACGCGATTTGGCAATCTACACTCCAAAGAGAGATATCACAGCCAGTGTCGAGACAGAGAACGACGTAGAGTGTGACTCTCAGTTCGCTCGGTTCGCGATTACAGAATGCCGTTTGCTTTCTCTTACGTGTTTCGCGGTGAGGTGGTCGTGCTGAAAATTTTTATATTATGTTTCCTTGCAATGTCTCTGTGGTAAAAATACCATTCTAGAAGCATAATCTACCAAAAGTAATGTTTATATAGAAGTATCTAAACTGTTTTAAAAAGAATCATTACTTGAATTTGTAGGACTAGGTTGCTTGCTCAAAAGTCATGTTTCTCTTTTTAAGTAACAATAATAAAGAATGTGTTAAAACTTAGATTCGTGTTAAAATTAAATTCAACCGGAAACGATTGGTCTACCGTTTAATGAAGAGCTATATGATTTGCAAAATGAAAACAAGCTTTCACTACTCATAAACCGACAGTGCTGCTAGTACTAGCTAAAGTGCAGTACCCTTTTATTCCCATACTCTAGTTGCTCCTACAATTTAAAAACAATTGAAAAATTGTGTTTGCGAGTGCATGAGGATGCGATAAACCGAAGACGTCATATCTGATAAGTTTGAACGTTAACTACCTTACTCATGATTAAGCGTATTCACTTCTTAAATTCGGTTTCAATCACCTTTTTTTTATTAAAAAGAAGAAACCGATTGTCAGTACGCTCATTTTCACAAGACCTAAGTTTTGCCATAGTAGTAACTTGAGTCGTTTCCCCAGGTAAGTGTTACCAGTGATTTATTACTTAAACTGGTCAGATTGTGATATCAATACTTTATTGACAATGTTAAGAAACCAGTTAGAAACTAGCCAACATTAATTTATTTCTGGTTTAACTGGTTTGCACTGTAACGCTCACTGCGCGAATCTGCTTCCTAGACTTTTCGAAATAATGAGTCGCAGACACAAATCAACTTTCCGATTCGTTAAAAAATACGCAAACATAATATTCATAGTATAAAAACAATATTGGACTTAGCCGGGCTCGAGTCTCCTGTCCAGAGTGTCGAATAGAAAATTTTTTGTCGGTTCGGTACGGGTTCGGGTTCATGGCTTTCGGTTCAGTTCCGGTTCAGTTACGGGGAACAAAAACAACGGTTCAAATTGGTTCAAACCGGTTCGAACCGGTTTAAACCGCTAAATTGACAATTTATTTACCACGTTGTTCTTACAATATGCACTCTTTATTTCGTGAAACGGTTAAGCACATAGTTTGTTTTTCTATCGCCCGTACAATCCGCTTTATGTTCGGGTAGCAAAATGTATAAAATTCCGTCATTTAATTTCGACGCAACAGTAATAGAAAGTCTACATTAACACACAAAACGTCATGTTTATAAGACTCAACATCCCTTTGTTTTCCAAAGTCATATATATTTTCCTTAATCAAAATGTTCAAGTGACGGTAAAGAGTTGATCTTGTTGGAACATATTTGTAAACTCATCAGCCTGAACTTTAGAACTATACTGTGCACTCCTCTCCTGTCCTCTCTTTCTTCGAGTTTTTAAATATAGTTCTAATCTTCAAGCTGATCTATTTACAAGTATCAAAATGTTGTCGGGAAGTGTGCCAGGTCGGCATTAAATACCCGTGATTGGTACAACTTTGCGTCGAAGTATCAACAAGGTACATAGTGGTTGTGCCCTTGAACAATTACAGTACATAAAAGCAGTAAATGGGGACCTCGTCCTCGCCTTATATATCATAAACTATTATTTACGGAATACGTTTCGCAATATACATATGATGACGACACAACTGAGTAAAAAGCAGAGTGTGTATTTTCCAGTGTTTATTAATAAGAAAAATCGGCGAATGTTTTTTGGTGTTTAATAATTTTCCAACACCGGTGTATTTCGGCTCGACGACTCATGGCGAGCTGAGAACTGTGATTATGAATGAAAGAGAAATGAGTCACTGTGCACCCTTAGGCAACTTGAATAAAGGCTGCTACAGCGAGAGTAATTGAGGTCCATTAATTTGAAGGGGCTCGATGGGCGCGTCAATTGTTAAAGATGGTTATCATTTTTTTTTTTGCAGCCGCAGCACACACTTTAGTTTCATAATCGACAAAAAAAAAAAGAGAAAGCGCACAGCTCTATCTTGTTTTTTAGTTCAGTTTTGTTGTCGAAACTTGAGAAAAGACACACACTGTTCCGTAGAGGTAGCAGAATTTTCAGAGCACCTTCCAGGACTGCGAGGTGGACAAAACCTACACCTGTGAGCCACCTATCCACAAAAGTGGAACATTTCCAGCGAACCCGAGGCAGGGTGAGGTTAAACCGAACCCGTAGCCCCGGAAGTTTTTAAAAAACTAAAGAGATAACAATGAACGCATCTCCGTTCCCCAAGGGAAGAGGCGCGTCCGTCAAGATTAGTGTCCCTGGACCAGACTTATATTGGCAGTGTTTTCCGAGAACCACAGAGACCTCTTAATATATAGAGACTGGGGGTGTGCAGGATCTACGACTTAACACGTTTGACAAGTCTCTAAGGGGAGAGAGTTTTGACGAGAATGGCCTCCACTAGGGCGGAAACATTCAACGACCTGTGTTTTTCGGTTATCATCAGAGCGAAAACATTTAAACATTGGTGTTTTTCGGTTTTAACCGATTTTGTATTTTCGCCACCGGCGAATGTTTAATGTTTTTTGTTCGGTTTAAGTCGGAAGGTGCACAACCTAGCTAAAAGCAATAACAATTTCAAAATGTCACGACAGTCTTAGGACAAACCCTTTCAGTCTACCATTTATAGAAACACTCAGCGGCTGTCACAGCGTTTTGTTTTTTCTAGCCAAATATTGTTTATACTCAACACCCTGATGCCGGCGACGAATCACGCCGAAAGAAGTGATCGAAATTGTTGACTCTAATGTATGAGCACGTTCTCTCTCCGATCGAATCTGGCCTAAATTAGCGCTTGTCCAAGTGATTATTTTCTTATACAGGATAAACTGGCATACCCTGTCTGTTGATGTTTGTTTTTGACAAGATGCCGGTCAATTTAGTTTGCAAATAAGCATCTCCTTTGCTAATTGATAATTGTTTGTTAAATAAAACGACGTAGTATTTCATGTTCTACTCGACATGGCATCTACTTAATTGGACACACTCTGACGGTTTGCCATAGCTCCGCCTCGCCCACCTGTGTGCTTGGTGTTTGTCCAGCCCACAGACACATAAATGTATGTTCAGCACATAAAATATGAAATTACAAACTTCTTTATGTTTGAGACGTTATACCGTGTCAGGAACACATAGTTATTTTAATTAACTTCAAATAGGGAATTTGTGTATGGC